AGGGAATCTCGCATCTCCAAGGCTGTGATGGAGAGGCTTAGGGAGAAGATACAAGTCTTGGCTGTGCATTACTAGCCCTGGGCCTTTGGGCAGACTAACCTGTCAGACCCTCCATTCCTTCACTGTAAATGGGGGTCATCATGCTCAACTTACTAGGTTGCTGGGGCAGTTTGAGCTAAACTAGGAAGTCACAGCACACAAAGGAAGCTTTATGGGTGCAGCCCATTACTGACATCATCACAGAGGCCCCAGGTGTAGGTTCTGTCTGGCATGGGGCCACAGGCTAACCGATGGAGCCTAGGCGAGGTTGCTGTGCAGCAGGGCTTCCTTTCAGTGTGTCCCTCGAGAGCATAATTATTCTAAAAGCCAGGCCTGCCCTAGTCAGCCTTGTCTTTAGACAAGTAGACAGTGAGCTAGCTGGGGCGAGCTGCACCATCCATCTCTCTTATGTCCCTGTCTTATACCACCAGCTCGGTTTGGATGCTGCTGCAAAGGGAGGGCTGACAAAGAGGAGAACTGGCAGGGGAGAGGAGGGAGCATGATGCGAATCCTGCTGGGGTGACAAACCCAGTCTCCATGACAAAGCTCTGCAGTCGAGAAAGGGATTCCAAGTCTCATTTCCAAGAACCTCCAAGAAATTGGAAGCTGGCCGCGGAGGGTTTACACTGAAGCTGGAAGGCTGGTGGATGAGCCCTGAGTCACTGAGCTGGGATATGGGGCAGCTGAGGTCACCAGCAGATTCTGCCGTCATGGCTAAGCCAGGGCCTGACTTTGGAACTCAGTTTCCTCATCTAAAAAAATGGGAACTTGGTCTCTAAGGCCCCTCCCAATTCTGATATTAGTGATTTGGCTTCCAAACCTTGCTGCTGACTAACCACACTCCCGCTGCATGCAAGGCCCTAGCTCCAGCTCACTGGCCCCTCAGTTTCATCAACTCTTACTGTCCCTGGGGACACATATATTCTTTCTATCTCTACTAGTTCTCTTTCTTTTGAAGGTGTTTGGTTTCCAGAATAGTAGAGGAAAGCCCAAATTTTCATTACAAACATCTCCAAAGCTTCAGAGGGACAAAAAAATAAACATTCCTCACTGTGTTGGACAGGGTGAAAGGACAGGGCAGGGCAGAGGGCAAGAAGGAGGGGACATCTCTGGGGAGCTTCTCCCAGGGGTCCAAAGCTGCTGCTATGGGCAAGGTAGCAGGGGTCCAGCCCTCTGATGGCCATCCATCCCCACTCAGAAGTCTCTGAAAGGGTCTCCCTTGTCCCTACTGTCACTCACAAAGGACAGAGAACATGGGGATTTCCTGTCCTTTTAACCCCCCCTGGCCTCCCCCTGGCCCAGTGCCTATGTCAGGGCCCTCAAAGGCAGCTGGTGCTTCTGGATCCCATGGAGACACGGTCATCAGGACAGTCTGGCTTCCAGTCCTATGGGACCAGAGCTCCTGTGAGGAAGCAGCATATACACCCATCCCCTATGTTCCACCCACCCCATGCCCATGGCTGCTCAGGAATTTGGTAGGGGGAGGAAGAGGGTGGGAGGAAAGTTTCCTTGAAGGGAGCTTCGCCATTTTGAGCCAACTTTTTCAAAAGCGAGTAGTGATTTGCCTTCTGGGTGGGTTGGAGGAGGCAAGCAGAAGGGTCCTTGTACTTTTCCCAGATGGGCCAGAACCGCAGTCCAGGACTGACCATCTCCTCCAGGATTTGGGGATCTGGCTTAGTAGTTAAAGAAATAGGTCAGGACTCAAAAGTCATGTGCTTAAATCCTGGCTCTACCACTTACTAGCTGCATGACCTTGAGCCAGTGACACCACCTCTTGGGCCTCAGTTTTCACATCTGTTAAATGGGTGCAAAAATGGCACCTACTAGTGCCCACCGATGAGAAGATGCACAAAAAACACCTAGAATAGTACCTGTTTTGCAGTGAATGCTCATTAGTCATTTACATTGCTATTGTTATTTTCAAACTAGGAGACTCAACTTCTTTGCCTCAGTTTCCAGCTACAACATAGGTCCCCTTCAAAGGGTTACATGTAGGTACAGAGTGAGGTGTTTACAAGGGGTTAGTCCTAGGAAGGAAATGGAAAGAGAGAACTAGGGCCACTCTGGGTCAGAAGGAAGAGGATGCCCAAAGAGGCTGCCCTGAGTACAATTACAACAGGTGGGCAGGAGAACCTGTGGGGGTGGGGGGCAGGGGGAGTGCTGGCCACTGGTTGCAGAGATATGTAACCCCTTGGGATACTAAACCTAGGTGGTTCCTTTCCATGCCCTGGCACTTGGCCAGGCCTGGTACTGGGAGGGACACAATCAGTGTTGCCAATGACTAGTTGAGATGCAGAGTGAAAGAAAAATATTATGGACCAGGAGTCAGAACATATCAGTAACCCTGCTCTGCAGCTGCCATGCCTGGACTACATGTCCTGGGGTGACTTCCATGCTGTCTTGGGGTATCACTTCCCTCATCTGTGAAATGGGGTAGCTTCATCCCTTTTCAGCCAGCCTTGCCTCCTCTCTTCCCCACCTCCTCACTCCACCCCAGCTGCACTGGTTTCTTACTGTTCCTCAAATACAGCAACCACGTTCCAGCCTCAGGGCCTTTGCACAGGCTGTTTCTGGTAGGATCTTTCCTTCCCAAAGCTATCCCCACAGCCCATTCCCTCAAAGCCATAGCTCAAAAGTCACCTCTCAAGGAGGCCTTCCTTACCACCCAGTTTACAATGGCAACCCCACCTTGGGTCTCAACATCCCCAACATTCAATTTCTTACTCTCACCAAATAAATATGATTGATTTATTTAATGAGTTATGTGACTCCACCACCACCACCACCTTTAAGTGTCAGCTCCACGAGAGCAAGAATCTTTATTTTGTTAACAGCTGTCTCCCAGTGCCTGGAACTGTGCCTGGCACTTGGTTAACAACATCATTGTTGGCATAGGACTTACAAACATTTTGTTCACTAAGTTAAAGAACAGTCTAGAACTGTTAAAGAACAGTCTAGAACTGTGTGACTAATTTCACCCTTAATTCCACTGCCCCTCCTACCCCCACACCCCAGAAGGGGCAGGCCCCTTCTCCAGGAGGGTGGGGGGCTATCATAAGATCTTGGGGGAAGGGAGGAGCTGAATGTTTGGTTGGAAAAGCTTCAGGGGGGCCTGAAGACAGGGCCCTGCAAAGAACAGGCCTGAGCAGTGAATTCAGCAGGTGCTGACAGCCAGATGTGGGTGAAAGGCTTTGGGTCTCAGTTCTCCACTCCAAATTTAGAAGAATTGATGAAGAAGTTGTTAGCATGTGGGTGAAAAAAGGAGAAGCTAGGGCAGCTGGCTCCCAGGATTTGGGGCTGGAGGGGAACTAAAATACCAGTTGGCCCATTTAATAGATGGGATAACAGAGACCTGCAGAAAACGCAGTGCGTTCTTTCCTAATAGCCCAACAAGAAAAGTCTTTCTTTCCCCTGGGCTGAGCGTGGAGTTTCTGCTTAAGAACGGACAGTGTCCCCTTCTGGCGCTCCAACAGCGCCTCCCACCCATCCCTGCGCCTCTGCGTTCTGTGGACTACAGGAAGAAAGGCCTCCCCCTCCACAGACCATCAGGGGTGGAGGTCCAAGAGGTCTCACAGTTGGGGTGGGCATCCCTGCAGCCCCAGGGGGTTCGATCTCCCCGCGGGACGGCTCCATCAGGAAAAGTTTGTGTGGAGGAAATCCACCAGGAAGTGCGGGGCTGTGGTGGGGTGGCGAGGCGGCCTTCGCCGTCCACGGTGGCCTTGAGGGTAGCCTCAGAGTTCTTGGCCTCTGCCGCGCTTCTGTTCCGCCCACCATTGCTCCAGCAGAGAAACCCGCGCCCCTGGGAACGTGAGGAGGCGGTGGGAGCCCGGAATTCAGCGCGGGGTGGGGGTAGGGGGAAGGCGCCTTGAGCCCGGGGACTTAAAGCCAGCGCCCCACCCGGCCCGGCGCGCCAGAGATGGGCGCCGCATTCTGGCGGTTCCTCTACAGACCCCGGAGTGGATGCGAGTATTTTACCCACGGCAGGGAGCCCCTGAGCCAAGCCAGTGGTCCCACACTGCCCCCTTCCTGCTAAGCGCGCGACTTCAGGGAGAGTGGGGTGGGGTGGGGTGGCGTCTGTCTCCACCTGTGCTTCCCCTACTCGTCAACTGGGGTTTAGGCGCTGCTTCGGTTTCTGCCTCCCTCCGCCCCCCAGCCTGGAGACCGGGGGTCTCTACCAGTCTTGCTCCTCCCCCTGCAATATGTTCTTTGCCTCCCGGCTCCAAACACTAACCACTTTCTGGACCCGGGCCTGAGGGCAGAGGACCCTTGGCGCGGAGCTCCGGGATGTTCGGCACCCTCGGTCCTTCGCCCAGGACCACCGCCCCCACGGCACCCCCGAGCCAGAAGGTCGGGCCAGACTTGTGAGCAGCGGGAACTCCGCCACCTCCGTCCGCGGCCCTGCGGGGGCGAAGAAAGGAGGAAAAGAAGGACTGGCAAGTTTGTGCCGCGCACTCCTTGGACCAGGGAACAATGGCGGGGCGGGGCGGGGGGGGGGTGACTCGGAGAGAGATGGAAGGGGGAGGGGACCGAAAACCGAGCGCGGGGACAGAGTCAGACCCCGGGGAGGAAGAAACTGCTTGTCGCTCTGTTTCCCTCTTGCTCCGAAGCAGAGTGCGAGCCCGAGAGGGAGGAAACGAGGGCGAAACGAACAGCCCAAGAGGGAGAAGACGGCGGAGAGAGAAAGCCGGGAAAGAGAGGGAAACCGAGTCAGAAGGAAGGGCAGCAAGCAGGCTGCGCGGCGAAAAGGAACAGAAGGGGCTGAGGGACAGCGCACTGGAGAGCCGGGGAGGACACTCCCGGAGTCCCGGCAGAATCCGCCGGCCCAGCGAGGTTCTGGGGTGTCCCCATCGGTCCCCGCGGCCTCAGAAGCCCGCTGGGCTGGGCTGCGCTGCGTAGGCACCGGCCGGCAGCTAGGGGGGAACGTGCGAGGCTCAGAAGCGGCGGCGGGGAACAGAACTTACGTTCCTAGCGCATGCTGGCGCCGGCGCTGCGCGGAGCTGGCGTGCCGGGGGACGCTGGGGCCCTCGGGCGCCTCACATCGCGCGGGGTAGGGCAGGGCCGGGCGGGACTGCGTGCAGCGCCCAGCGCGCCTGGGGTTTACCCGAGTCTGGCGGCCCGCGCTGGTCCCTCCTCTCAGTTCCGCGCACAAGCCAATGGCGCGCCGTCCCCTCCCACGCGCCGGGCTGCCTCGCCCCCGAGGGTGGCCGCCGGGGCTGGAGGGGGAGCAGGGTTGGGGTGACTGGGCTCTCGGGCTCCCCAGCCAATGCTTTCCTGGAGACTGCCTGCGGGAGGCGCGCTCACAAGCCGGGAGAAGGCGCTTGGAAATCAAAACAGAGCCTGCGACGCCCAGGAAGACTTTCTTGGTAAGTTCTGAAGATTGCGCCCCTTTTGTGAGACTATCAACACCCCATAGGTTGGCAAAGCACACCGTCTTGAATATCCTTGGGATATCCTCTGGGGCCTAGGCCAGTGTCTAAAATGGAAGGGGCTACTTTGGCTGGTAGATACTCAAGTGTGTCCTTAACACAGTGACAACGGTCACGGTCTGCTGAGCTCCCACTACATGCCAGACACCTTGTGCTCAAAAAGTTAGGAGTATTAATTCATTTGATTCTCACAGCCTATGAGGTCGGGATGATTAATCCCATTTTGAAGATGGTGGATATTAATGTCGGAGCTTGGCTTCCAGTCTAAGCCTACCCTTCTCTCCCCGTTTGGTGTGATTTTGCCAGATAATATGATAACCTCACCCCCCAACACACACACACACACACACACACACACACACACACACACACACTTTGTCTTTCACCCTAAAATTTAGCCTTGTGATGTTGCTGCAATCACTCCACACTGTCAGGGGACCAAGATCTTTCTGCTCTTTGTCCTGTTGATTGTGGAGGTGGCGCAGGCACAGTTGTCAGACCTTTTATGTCTGCACATCCAGTGGTAGTAAGAGGCATGAGAATGGGGTTTGGGGGTTTTGGAGGCTCTCTAGGAGCCTGTCAGCCTGAAAGAACTAGGCTCCTACAGACAACCTCCACCCTACCATTCTGGGCTCATTTCAACCTCCTGGTATCAGTAATGCGCCTTCCCACCCTGCACCCTCCTTAGAAAACCTCGGGGATCTCTTCATCTTGTGTGATGGTCGCAGGATGGGGGCAGTATGGAGGCAAGAGGAAGGCAAAGTTGATAACATGCTCCATTTCACAGGCAAAGTTGATAACATGCTCCATTTCACAAGTAAATAGGGTACAAAGAGGTGAGTGGTTGTCCCAGGCATTTAGCTAGGTGGGCATTTTGACTCCAAGTCTGAGTTCTTTCTGCCCTGGTTCCTTAAGGGTTAACCAAGCAGGCTCTGGAACCAGACTGCCCAGGTTCAAATCCTGGCTCAGACATTTAGTAACTAGCCTTGGGCCAGTTATTTAACCTCTAGGTATCCTGTTTCCAAAACTGTCTGCAGAATGGTGGCAACCAACAGTAGGAACTGCCATTGGGTGTTGTGGAAATCTGGTGTTCAATAGCAGCAGAGTGTGTTGGGTGCTCAGGGCCAGCATGCCAAGCAGACTCCCTCTGCCCTCACCAGAGATGGGACTGGGCAGAAGAGTCTGTGCACTTTACATGAAAGTCACCAGAACTGTGTGTGGCTCATAGTGCATGCTCAGTAGTCACGGTCCCGATTACCAAGGTAACAGCTCTGATCCTAAGGTACCACTGTGTCCCACAGTGCCACCATCCCTGCTCCTAGCCAAGCACCCAGCCAGTGATAGTCAATAATCAGTGAATGAATGAACAAATATGGCTACAGGTCATATTTGATGTGCCATATTGGGTGAAGCACAGACTCAAGATCCACTTGACCCAGGGCTCAACAGTAGTTTTTGCAACAGCTTAGTCTCAACTCGTCGTCTTAACAGAGCTGGTTTAAGCCAGCACGGTAAATACATTTGTTGCTCCTCTGGTCTTCTCAGCATGCAGAGCTCTGGGTTGCAGAAGGGAAGGCACCAACCTTGCTAGAGTGCTGTGTCACCCTGAGTGACCCCCTGACTTGGAGACATTACCAGCACTTCCCTTGCTGTGACCTTACATCAGTAGAAGGAAGGATTTTGCACCAAGATGTCCAACCTGGAAGGGGCTGCCTTAGTAGTGAGCACCCTGTCATTAGCAGCATGGAAGCAGAAGCCAGAGAAAAGTTGATGAGCTTTGCTAGAGGATGGATTCCTCCCCCCTTAGCATTTGATGTGGATAACCTTTGAGCCCTGGGTGTCTTGATTCTGTTTTCTGTCTGCTTCATAAGCCTATCAGCTGGGAGGCTACGAGAGCCCAGGCTGTCCCACCATCCTCATGAGGGAGGTGATCTTGACTGGACACCAGGCAAGGTGCTGGCATCCTGGGGGTAAAGAAGATCCAGTCCCCATCCTTAGGAGCTCACATCTTCCAGGAGACATTTGCACACACAGATAGCAGTGGAAACAGCTCACAGTAACAGGCCAAGTGCCTGGGGGGCTGGAGGAGAAGGAAGATGCAATCCATTTCCCAGCATCCACTCTCCCTAAAGCACTCATTAGAAGCTCTTGCTCTCTTTCTTCCTATACACATTTCTAAAGTGACATGCATCTAGTGCAGGAACATTCCTTAGGCTGCTATTCTGCCCTTTCTGTTACCTCTACATTGGACATATAAAAAGTTTACCTCACTGGTCTGTTGTGAGGTTAACATTGAAAGAGGTAAAGTGCTCCCCAAATCTAGGCAAGAATAGGTCCTTGACTCCTGGTAACAATGAGGTGTCATCATTATCTGCAGTGCAGAGGGAGCATTAACTGTGAGGGCCAAAGAAGGGGGTTAGGACCCTGGCTCTGCTCCTAACCAAGGCCCTCAGCTGCACCTGAAAATGGAAACATAAAAATACCTGCCTCTCAGAGCTTGTTGAGAGTCAAATGAAGCGATTAGAGGAGAAAGATTTGCAAACTGGAAATGCTGATTCCTATTATTATCATTATTATTGTGATTATCGTCATTGTGAAATGTTTCCCTCAGAGGCCCAGGGGGTGGGGGTGGAGCTTGGAGACGGCCGTCTGTGGGAGGGCCACGGGGAGCAGCTGGGCCTCCATCTGCCCAGGTCCCCTTCAGCAGGGGCAGCCGCACCTCCTTGTGCCCTGTGTGAGACTGCGTGTATGCTTGCCTGTGTGCCTGTGTGTGCTCTTGTGCAGGTAGGGACTGGAAGGTGGCACAGGCATGGAAAATGCCAGTGTCTGTGGCCAGAAATCACTTGCAGATTGTGAATCCCTGGGGAAGAATGCAGATGTAATTGGATTTCAGAGATGCTGGCAGTGGGACTACTGCTGGCACCCAGGAGGTGGAGGAGAGACACTAGGGAAAGTGCGGGTTGGGCTTAGTATTTGGAGCTGGGGCCTGGGGAGAGGTCTCAGCCATGACTCCCTGGGAGCAGAGGCCATAAAGAGGAAGAGGATGTTGTCAAAGGCCCTTGTGGTTGAGCCCAGGGGTTTTGGAGCTGACAGACTTGTGTTCATATCCTAGCTGTGGGACTGCAACAGGGACCATGGGTTTAGGCAGAGTAGGGTGAGGGCCTCTGGAGAAAAAAGGCAATGCAAGATAATTACAGTCAGAACAATGTAACAATGTGCAAAGAATGTGTCCCTTTCGAAACTCTGTGTTAAGCATTAGCAAAGTCAGAGTCATACTAATTCTCTAGGGTAAAGATACCAGACTAGAAATATAGACATCTTCAGTGAGATCAGTTAAAGCTCAAAAGGCCAGGAGCAACTTGGCCTGGAATGTATAAGTGTTCTGCAGATAAAGAGAAATGTCTTAGCATAACCTGTGATTTCACTGTATCAATTAGATCGTGACACTGTAAAATTTACCTTACCTTGCTACAAGGCCCAGCTTATTTTTAACTGTATCTATGTGCTGTATTTCCTTCTCTAATCCTATTCAAGTAATCTGCAACCTGAGCAAAAGATTAATTTAGTAAACAAGCCCAGCTATAAACATCCCAAAAAGTTAAGTTAAGTAAGATTCTTACCACATTTTAGCAACAGGCAACAACCCAGCCCACCTTGGGGGCAGCACAGGCAGTCTTTTAATTGACATGCTCCCAGAAGGAAACTGCTATCCTGAGAAAGAATCTGTTACTCATCAAACATGAACATTCTGGGACCACTCAACAAGTCTGCACCACTAGCCCTTTACCCCCATTCCTGAAAATCCTCAACTGCACATAAAACCCCTAGACAATGAGCCAACCACAGACTGTCTTGTCCCCTCCTGGCATGAGCCAGGAGTTCTGTCCTCTCACTTTATCTCTAAATAAAAGCCTCTACCTTGCTCTTCTACCTTGAGTGTTTGCAAAGTTCATTCTTCAGCTCTGTGAGCAAGAACCCCAGCATCAGGACCATGGGCCAGTGCTTTCATTTCTCTAAGCTTCAGTTTCCAGGTCTGTAAAATAGGGATAGTAATGGTGGAGCTTACCTTCTAGGAATTACTGGGAATTTAACAGAGAGGATATATGGTAAGCCCTCAGCAAGGAGTGGGCACGTAGTAAACTGTTTAGGCAGCCCAGAGGAAGGAGAAAGGGGAGGGCTCGGAGGTGCTTGTACTTTGTAAATGATAAGGTAGCTCTGCTGTGAGAGACGGGGTCAACTGAAGCTGCCATCAGGAACAGCATTTTGGCTGAGGACCAAAGGGCCACTGTCCCAGGGAGTGAGGCAGAGATGCTGGGCTATCATAAATACTGCTGGTTTCCCTGCCTGGTTCCCCTTACTTCCTCTAGAGCCTCCTTCCCTGTGAGCCTGCCTGGTAAAAGGGCTTCTGAGGCTTTCCTCTCTAGCCATGGTGGTCCTGGGCTGTGCACAGTTTTGGGTACTGTGAGGAGCAGCTGGGAGCTTGGGAACTCTGTGGAAGGCCTCCCCCTCACTACCTGGCCCCTGCCTCCAGCTGGGAGAGACTGTCCAGGCCTCCTTCCCTCCACCTCACTCCCCTGAGACCATCCTCCCTCCTGTGACTCATCCCCACCCCCACTGTCCTGCTCCAGGACCCTGGATTGTCAAGCAGCTCTTCACCTGTGCGAGAGACACCCCTT